GAGCTACAAATAGATGAGAGATGCTGTAAACCTGAGACTTCCCTTGTGGTATCTATTCACAGCCTGTTTCTACAAAAAAAAAAAAGGAGAGAAATTAGGAGTGGATCAACTGAAACCTGAGGGGTAACATCAAGGAACCACCACAAAAAGTTCCAAACTATTGGAGTAATAAGGGTTGAGGTATAAGGCAGTGGAGAGATAAGGCTAAATAACACCCCTCCCAAAGGTGTAAGGTTGGTCCATCTACATTGAAAAAAAAAAAAGAGGCAGAAAGGCTGTGCAGGAAGTCCATGATTGAAGCCTCAGTTGGTAAATCGAGTCGAAGTAACTTGGGCAAGACCAGATCACAAGAATGACCACCAAAAGTTTAACCGGTTAACTTAGAATAGATTGGTAGGTTTAGCATGAACTAACACTTGTGGCATATATATTCTAATTCCATGTGAAGATTGGTTGTTTGACTTTGGATTGCAGAAAGATTTGGTATCCTTAAGTGTATGTTTTCTTCACTTGAATCTGAGACAAAAGGTTGACAGCTCCTATCCAGTTTGTGTTTATGGTAGTTGCTATGTTCAGTGTCACCTGCCTGAGTGAGAATCCTCACTCAGGGGAGTAAGTCAGACTTCAGTCATTTTGACAATGTTGTTTTCCCCTGTTTCTTATGTGCAATTCTGTAAGTGCCAACAAGAGTTTAGTTGTTTTGCTTGAGGACAAGCAATTCTTCCAGTTTGGGGGAGTTGATAATGGATTATTTGTTACAGAAAAGCATCACAATTAACTCTGAATTTAGTAAGAAATTGGGGGGTATTTCCTATTATTAGTGCATTCTACTTAACTGGTTTTCGTGTTTTTATTAGGTTGGGGTTCGATTGAACAATTGCTGAAAAATTGAGGCCAAAGGAACAAATTATGGGCTGCTGATGCAATTTTTGCTGAGTTGGATGAAAAAGTACCTCCCAAGACAAGAAGCATCTTGCCATTAATGAGTATGTCTCTCATTTGAATTCCAAGAGGCATGCTTGTCCCTCAGCCGAAATTCCAGCCACCCCTGTTGATCAATGAGATTAATGCTGCCACTACTGGAAGAAGAGAAGAAGACCAGTCAAGTTTGGATTCCAGGCACAAGGCATAGGGAGGAACAATTCACAAGCATGGGAGGCTCTCATGATTAAAGAACCGGCTGCAAAGCTCTATAAAAGGGGAACTTCACTCTCAGAAGAAAACATCTCTTTGGTTACCCTTTCAGTTGCCAAAAACACAGAAAAAAATCTAGGAAGAAGGCAAGAAGGGAGAAGGAGCAACACCCACTCAGTAAGGAAGCCAAGTTGAAGAACAGCCATCCCAGTTTCTGCTTCAGTTCCATGAGTGAACCCCTTCACTCTCAAGGAGTGGCTCAGAACTGCACAAGCTTTTTTCTCGTCTCTTGACTGTTAGCTTGAACTTCGTTTATTATGCATACTTCTATGATGTCTGTTGATGTAGTAGATGTAGCATTAATCTGCATGAGTAGCTAAGCAGCTTCCAGGGGTTATTCTCCTCAACCTATATTGTAGTTGTGTAATGCACTGGTTCTGTTCCTTGTTTTGAAGTTGAAAGTTTTTCTATTTACTTGATCACTAAATTGAATGCATGCTAGAACTAAGGGAAATATGGAAAGATAAACTTGGTTTGGATTGTTTCAACTTTAACTTATGACATAGAGGTAACAGTCTATGGTTTTAACTAAGATAGGGATATACTTAGTTAACATAAGCATTTTTGAAGGCCTAAGAACTTAATGACTTTGTATCTGGAATCAATCATTGGAAAATAGATTGTGAAGGTTGCAAAGATGACTCTAGGAAAATGGGAACTGACTTAGAGTTATAAGTGAGCTGAATGAACAAGAATTCAACCATTACAGTGCTAATAAACAACTACAGCAGTAGGAAGAGGAGATGAACACCCCTGGCTCTCATTCCCCTGAGTGATTGTTTCCATTCCCCTGAGTGGCACCTTGTCTGACTGGTAGTCTTGTTTTGACAACAAATTTGGTAATTAGCTGTCCTCGTGGGATCTATCTGGCTTCCATTATCTACAAAAATCATAATCCAAGTTAGTAATATTTTTGGTGAACTCGGCACGCACCAATAATTTTATCAGAATAAAAATTTGATGTAATACCAAAATTCCCCTAAAGAGAAATACGTAAGAAAAATAAACTGAAATAATTGGAAAAAAAATAGGCTTTCAATTAAGTGATTTTAACATCCATGTGGAAAGAAAAGAAGAAAAGCTAACAAATTTCCTTCTCTACCTTGCTTGGATTCATCTTAAATCAGCTTTGTATCAGATGGTATTATTCCCGCTGATTATATTTTCGGCGGATGAAACCTGATAACTAGAAAGCAAAACGTGAAGAGATATTAAGTTTAGCATGTTTAATTAATAAGGATATTTTAGTAAAAATAGTTTTTGAGTGCTAATTTTTATTTTGACAGAATCATTGACCATATGTATTAATGTCATGAAGTAAATGTGGTAATTGCTATCGTCATCTTTAAGTTCAAACTTGAAATATATGTCAAAGTGAAATAAACATAGTGAAACTATCAAACTTCATTCAAATTCCAAAATAAGAATAGCCAAAGATGAACATGCTTTTACAAATTGCAATCCCAGAATTACTAACATGACGACAGCAAAATGAATAATTATCTGCCAAATGTTCAAAGCCAAAATAATATCGGATAAGGAACTTTTAACTATATATATATAACTGAACCAAAAGTATAATTGAACTTTACTTATAATTGCAATCCTACAAATTATCAATGGAACAAAAACTTTACATGTGAGATTTAAGATCCTATGATTAACTTCAACCATTGAAAACCCAACAATATAGACAATTAATGAAATCGGAAAAGTGTAGTTATTTTTTCTTCTTTTTTCTATCTCAAAAGTAACTTTGAAAATAAAAACATTTCTTTTCCATCTTCCTCATACGAGATGGAGGAATAAGATCTGTCTAGCTTTGAATTTTGTTAAAATTCTATCAATGGAATCATCCTCAAAAGTTTAAGCGTTTAATTTTAGCTTGGGAAGGGAAACTCCACCTTTGGTCCCCAATATTTACCCTTTTGCAAGCTGAGCCACTAAAAATTTTTTGTCACGAATTTAATCACCAAAATAAATGTTATTCAACACTTACGGTATTTTTTAAGAGTAGAATAAGAAAATAGCAAGAAATTATACTAAACTATTACATTTTACTTCCTAACTTTTTAGTCCAACAAAAATACTACTTCTCAACTTTTGAATGACAAATAAGTCGCCACCTGAAATTTTCGTAATACAGCTAAGCAATCCATTAATTTTTAATTAACGTTTTCCTTTTCTATTTCCTATTTTCTGCCATATTTTCCCTTCTATTTTTTCTAAATATTTTTCCCTTTTGTAATGTTTGGCACATTTTTAATCTTTTAGTAAATCATATTTACAAGGAACCATTTATTTTTATTTTTATTTTTTGCTTTAGTTTTTCTTTTATTCTTATATGCATTTTTCCTTTTTTTTCACATTAATTGTTTAAGTTATTATTTTCATTCAGTTAGATACTAAAATTTTATAACAGTAGACCAAATTCATATTCAAATGTTTAAAATTCAATTATTAGACACAAACAACCTAATTTAATTGAAACGTTTGATTCATAGTTTAATAGGATCATATGTCATGTACTATAGTACGTCCAACCAAATAAAAAATTTTAAAACCTACTTCTTGAAAATAAATGTTTTAAATTACACTATATTTTATACTTTGATCATGTTGTTTGAATATAATTTAAGCATTTAATATTATCACACTAAATATAATTAGTTGATACTCTCTCCGTCCCACAAAAATAATCGACATTGAGTTTTGAGTTTTGTACTATTTTTAGTACAAATTTGAAAACTCAATGTGGACTATTTTTTGGGACGGAGATAGTATAATTTTGATGTAGGTGTACTTGCTTCTAAAGTTAATCTTCTTTGGACTTCAGCACGAATGCAAACCTTTAATTTAATTGATTAAGTGAAAAGACTAGTAGCATCGAATTTTTGGACTGGAGTTTAAATATATTTCATAAAATAATTTTTTTTTAACGATGGGATACAGTAGGAATTAAGAACGTAAATTCTTTCATATTATTATTATTTTTTTTATAACGCCGGGAACCCCACCAGAGATGGGTAAATCCACGTCCACTACAATAACTTGCAAACCATAGTGGGAGGTAAATCACTCTAGGCATACTTGGAATGACAAGTTTAGATGCGAAATCAGGAGTTCATTAGTGGGTTACCCATAACAAGCCCCTAGAGCTGCCAATAAACAAGGTAAGAGCTAACCCCTTACTTTTTGTTGAAGTGGGGGATTGAACTCATGATCTCTTCTTGGAGCAAAGGTGGTGTTACCACCGAACCAACTTTCATATTATTTTACAATCAATTTGAATTATTAGAGTCCAAAGTAAAACAATCAACAAGAATCATGTAAATACGTAATACATTAAAACAATATAATATAATTGAAAAGATGAACAAAGCATTATAGAAAGTTAAATGGTCCAGAGTGAAATGTCCATAAATTTAATTTATGTAATTTTAGGTTGGAATGGATAAAAAAGAGTCAATTTATGTAATTTGTGTCTTGGTATAAAATTTTCCTTAACTTATTATTTTGCCCTTATCAAAAACCAAAAGTGTTGAATAAATTATATTTAGTAGCTAAATTCGTTGCCACAAACTTTATGGTAAACATTGGGGGCTTAAAAGAGTTTCCCCATTTTAGTTCAATAATATATGCATAGTGGACTTTCAATATGATACGAATGATTCCTTATAACGTTGGTCAAAAGACGCCTTTTAATCTTTCAATCACATGTGTCAAAGTTGTCGTCTATGTCTCATATCCACATAATGTAATTGTTTGAATTATTTAACCGTTCTGCCTCTTCTATAGTACCAAAAAAAAAAAAGAAATTCTCATCATCAACCACAACTAAATCGTGAATCAAGATCTAACCTTGTACCAAAGTTCTTATACAAATGATTACATGAAAAGGGGTTGCAGAAAGAAACAAGACATTATAACAATCAACATTCTCTGAGAGTTATTTAGAAACTCAAGCAATTTCCTCTACTATTCTTCTGCATATTAATTCATCATATCATTCATTCAAAATGAAGCGTTTAACATACACAGATGTACAAACTCATCTCAATTGACGGCCACTCTAAAAGGCTGCCTTTTGCCTACTACAATGGAGAAGAGAAGGAAAAGAAAAGGCAACAAAGAGCTAGCGGCAACCCACACACTACAACCAAGAGATTCACTACATTCTCAATCTAGAATTACAACAAAATAATACAGTGAAATCAGTATAATTACAACTCCCTACATCAAAACTAGCTACTTTCTAGGATCCGATAGCAGTTCTGTCATCTGGTCCAGCTAGCATGATCTGACGAAAAACAGGAAATGTTTTAGCCACACTACAGTGATTTCATTATAAGTAGCAGCAGTCCACAGAGTGCTATACCGGAAACTTTGGAGTAAGGTGAGGTAGCATAACTTACATTGCAGTCAAATGCGAACCGCCTTGCCAGCATAATAGCTGCATTTCTTTCTCTTTCTGACTCAAAAGCTAATACAAATGAAACATCAGACTTCGGTTGCCAGAAAGCAGCTTGGGCTGCAGCATTTCCACCACCTCTAACGCCGCAAAGCTGAAGATTGAGAAAAACAATGTCACTAGACACGGAGTCCCCTCTTATCAGAGACAATAGGATAACAAAGGCCAAATGAGGAAAACAGATTGATAAAGTAGATTATGATACTCTAAGCCACAAATACCCACCACTGCTCCAAATAAAAAAATAACAGCAGCAATATCCCAGAAAGAATGTATAGCCCGATGGTTTCACATTGAAAACCAGTTTCTCCATGCCTTTGTCTCAAGCATCAAAGTTACGGCATTAAAACCATGGGCTCTTATTTGCAATTGGATAGAGTGACAACGTGTTCAAATGGGAGGAGTTTATGCTGGTCCAATTAGCAATCAGTTTCTTATTTACTGGATGCCAAAACATGCATGGTCTATGATCTGGGGGTTCATACACTGCTAATTGATGTGACGGTATCATGAACTAGACAGACCAGATAGATTTCTCTAGTATAATATTCTTTTTGGTTTTTTCCAAGGCTATTAGTTTCATCATCTTCAAGAAGCTTACCAAACAATAAAATATACTGGGACGGACTCAAACATGGTATCATATGAAGAATTTCAGGGAAGATGCAAAAAATGAAAGTGGAAATCTGATTGCTTCTGCCTCAGAAGCTAGTGGCTTTCAGGAGATACAGTAACATAACCAAATGATTTACTGTACTATATTTTTTTTTAAAAAAAAAAAAAAGGAAATGTGTACTAGATGAACCAATTTACTGATTTTGCCTTCTGACACAGTAAAATACCCTGTGCCAAGGAATTATGCACATGATGTACCTGCATTGAAGCAGAATAGTACTCCTTCGTCAGGGTTGTTTTCCCCTTGCAGAGTTTCATTCTCATCTTTCCTATGTGCAGTACATGTATAGACGGGGATGAATAATCAGAGCCATTCATCTGGATAATGACAACCTGAAGAGCAGCAAAAAATCGTAGCCATTTCAGTTTGGTGCAGTGTGACTAAACAGAAAAAACAAAATCAATGGTGGACTGATCCCTAAATTTGAACTCCAAGCATTGAAATTCCAAGTACTTCGGTTTAAAAATTAAACTCTCAAGCACTTGGTTTTCATACAAGTATTTATGTCAGACTGACTAATTACTTGGATTAAATTTTAAAAGGAAACTTCTGCTTTCTGCTTTCCCTGTGGGGGATGTAAAAAGTGGTAAATGATGAATTAGAACTCTCACCAAAGGTGGGTGTGGCTAGCTTGGAGGTGGATAAAAGCATGTTTTAAAAGCGGTAGTGTCACCTAGATTGTCTTCATGGTGTCTTCTTAAGAAAATAATATGCAAATGCTCCTAATTTGGAGGTAGGCCACCACGGCAATGTTTTAGGAACATCATCAATATGGAAATGTCAACAAAACTTAACCTTAGAACAATAATCCACCAGGAAAGTTGCTTATGTACAGCAGCTATCAACACAAACTTGCCAGCATCCTCATGACCTTAAATACCCAAATCTAAACAACCATCCATTTGCCTATTTTTCCAGACCCTGACACTATTCTAAATTGATACAACACACACGATAACCACCCGAACATATTTGAAACAGCAAAACCTGTGGAAGACTAAATTCCCTCGATTGCAATAATTAAAACCTCAACAAAAATTACTGAGGAACTGGTTTTTCCAAGTAAATCCTTTTAGCAGCATTATTTTAGTCAGAGTGGTCCCTCATATAACATTACAAACAACAACTACCAAGTCCCCACAGCATCACCTCGACTTTTCATTTCTGTTTTTCTATTTTTGGCATCTCCTCTACTTTTCACTTCAAAAGGATATTCAAAACTACTAGCCGCTTTTGTCTCTTGCAAGTTTGTATACCAAAAACAATAATAATGAATACTGCAACTAACCCTTTATGGATCACGTCATTTATTATGCCCTGTCAAAACACATTTCATTTTATTATAAATACATTAAATTCCTTTCAAAAGTTTTATCCCCTTTTCATTCTTTTATATTTTCCCTCTAATGTTAATATTAGAATTATTGAGACATTGAAAGATCAACACAACATGTCAAAGCCATATAAAGCGTGATTCTCTCTCTCATGTTCTTGACTAGGGTATTACTCCTCCTTTTCTTTTCAATGAATTCCTTACTAATCCTCTCAAGCTGAAAAGCCCTCAAGCTAATTTCAACATTCTTTGGTATATTACCCTCTCTTTTAAATTCTCTATTATTTTTTATTACCCTCGTCCCTTTTTTTCTTTTGTTTTACTGCGCTCATCCTTTTATTTCTTTTTTTCTTAATTAATGGTGCATACTCAGATACACGAACAAATCTACTGTACAGCAGCTTATAAAGTTTTCATTTCAATTACAACGGAATCACAGAGGCAATCAATTACGAAGCATATAGGATATATAGCTTCTCCATCAGTTTTTCTTTTACTCAATATATCCTAAAACTTTCATACTTTCTAATATGTTTGTGCTCAAGAATTTTAATATTTATCATGTTTAATTTCTATGACTACCAAGGCACGCAATTCCTCTCTTCAATTTCAACTCTAGTCACGGTAAAGCGTTTAAGAACATAGTGTCTCCGGCAGAGCTTATTTGGCACTTAACCCTTCTATTGCCTCCTTGATTGACATTATATATCCTGCAAATAACATACATTCAGACATGACCTATAACAAAGATATTTCGCAAAACGTTACGGCAAAATGGTGGGGATTCAAAGCCTATCCCTGATGCAAACTTATAGTTGTTGGCACCGACATCCCTGCTAGCATCTATATACAAGTTAAATTTTTGTTACTATGTTTTCTACAAATTCTATAAATGTTACTCCTACCCATCCTCCCTTTAAGCTTGTCACATTGTCACATTGTGAAACAAATCAAGAGCTTAACTGCTAAACTTTGCCCCATAAGAAAAAGAGGGAATGAAGAAACGCTGATTGGCATTTGAACAGAATTGACCAACACCCTCTACGTTACTTTGGTTGATTTACACTCCACCGGAACTAACCTTCCTTAGCATGAAATACTTTTTCTTTTCTTATTGGTTAACAGCACGAAATTGTTTAACAATGCCATGGTAAAACATGTTTTATGTAACATATTATAGAAAAAGCTTCCTCAATTCTGATGCTATATAAATCAACGGAATCAAACTCAACTTGCAAAAAGATTAAAAAACTTGATTTGGTCAAATATTGACCGAAATCCAGTCAATTTAAACCAGATTCACCAGCTTCACTTATTAAGACTGAACAGTAAAAAATTAGGTTCCGAAACTTGTCAAACTTCCCAGCACTATGTATCCAATATTCATATGAAAATATTTACCAAGTTTTACAATGTTTTATATATTATATTAGTGCTCAAACTCAGATTTGAACTCAATCAGAGTGTCACAAGTCAACGTCAAATCATCTTATTATGAACCTCTTGAACGTATATTTTGTTGGCAATACTCAACTTCAACTCCACTTGAACATAAACCCTTCTCAACATTCATGTTTCAGCTTCTGCTAATACTTCTCACAATGGAGTATTTATATTTGTGTATATTGTAGCAAGAAAGTTAGCAGCAGAAGGAATTAATCAGGAAGTTGAGTATTAAAAGAGGAACGCACATTAAATTCAATGTCATGCCTCCGTACTAATGCTTCCACATAGTTCCCTAAACCTGGAGCTGTTGGGGAAGAAGAAGGTCAATCATAAGGCACCTGCTTCATAATCTAAGAAAACAAAAACTAAAATCTCAAGACTATAAATAAGTACAAGCAAAAATCAGCTGTGCTGGAAAAAGAGGAAAGATAATCCCAGGATTTTGTATGGCAGCAAAACAACAAACTAGCATTATGTTTCAAAATCAAGAACAAACCAGGATCAATAGGTCCAGTAGTTTCCACTATTATCTTCTGGCCATCAAATGCTATCTCAGCTTGTAATGTCCGGCTGACATCAAACGGCTCAGGGGCATAAATTGGTTTGGTAGCCCCTACACATATAAGGAAAGTCAATTAGTCAGGGTTCATCTGTGGTACAAATGCAACAGTTAGGGCTCGACTATTGTAACCCTTGTGTTCCTAATCGAGTTGCATTTCATCCTACGTTTTTTCCGGGGGTAGATGATAAATTATATTTACTTCCAAGCAAACATCACCAAAATTCTGTACACTATGGCTTATATCCATGTTTTACATGTCTACTTGCCCAATTTGATTGCTGAACAAATGGAATGAAGACTGGAAAAATCACTATCCCTGGCTTCTTTACTGAGCAAATTGAGCATTATTATATACTCCAACAAGCTGCAATCTATAGACTAGAGCAAACCAACTTAATAATAAATTAGAAAATACACACATGTTCTGCTCTTACCAACAAAGACTTTTTTGTGGATAGATTGACATGAAATACGGGCAAATTAATGAAGTATGTTTAAGCAAACAGGAGTACATCAAGTTGAGAAACATTCCAATAGTTAAACATAAATTAATGGTTTCCTTTTGAGTCTGTCCCTTCCAATGCTAGGTACAATGAAGATCCCATACAAATGCAAAGCTATATTGTAACATCTTAGAAAAGATGAGACACTAGGCAAAACGGTAGAATAATCTTAGTTAAGTCGGTTAAAGTAACATTAAAGCCTATCAAAGAGGTAAGAGCATTGAACAGTATGTAATACACGAATAAGACAATGCTGAAAGATTATTTCAACAGTACACTGCAATAATCACAAATCAATAGAGTTTAACACCCCGGTTGACATTCAAGTAAAAAGAAGTCCTTATAGAAAATTTTAAAGCAATAGAGAAACAAGATAAAAAGAATCCAAGATTAGAGCTAACTGAGATGGTTAAATTCTACTTAGTGTGTTTTACGATAATATGCCACGACAACCTTGGCTACTTGAGTTTGTTGTGCATAAAAAAAAAAATCACGAAATGTAAGAGCAAAGCCACCTAACAAATCAGTCAAAACCTTGCAAGCGTAGGGAAAAAAAAAAAAAAAAGCCAAAAAAGGCGAAAATGTTTCAAAGCGGACAACAAATGACAGTGGTGCATCAGAAAAGGCATCCGTCATACATCATAAAATTGTTCTTGTAATAGAGACAATTATACAAAACAGCTGTGCATAAAATAGAAAATTATACAAAAATACCTGAAATCGGTTCTTTTTTTCCAGTATCACATGTTAACCGATACCACTGCAATGAACATTCTGAAAGGTCTGGTGCATTTTCAGAACATGGACGCAGTCTTAAATATGAGCCCAATGCTTCAGTACCATCTACTTCATACATGTTTCTCTCACCACTCTTGCTTATGGCCAGCTGAAAGAAACAACAAAGTAAAAGAGTTTAACAAATATACTCTAGTGAAGGAGCTCAATGGAAGATTCATATCTTCACTAAGTATAGTTTACTAAACACAAAAGCTCTCCCACTTGATGGAGTACTAATTGGATAATCACCATACAAAGTGGTTTAGCCATAAGAACAAGCACATCAAACTAGCTTTCCATGATAGAGTAGGTATCATTTTCAAATTGGATTCTACAAGTGAAAGTTAAGAAATAGGAAACTAACCAAAACTATGTAGGTCCACAACTACAGAAAGAACAAAGGCAAATTTGCATGTCTCCCAATCAAGACTTGGCATCCCTAGTTTGAAAATGCTAAAGGCGAAAAGATAATACTACTTCATCATTATCAAAAAATGTAACATGAGATCCACATAGCAACCCAACATAGTTCATTAAAGGTTGTTTTACCCAAGATAAAGGTCTACATGAAGCAATGAAATTACTTCCTCCAGGGGGATGCATCACTTTTAATCCCAATAAAAGTTCAACTTTGTATCAACTTGTCAATGGCACAAACCTTCTATGTTAGGTGATATCACATCACTCACGTCTAAGAAAGCCTCCCTCATCAACAAACTTCTATTTTCGCCATTGAAACAAAGGCACAATTCAAGATAAGAGGAAATCAGAAAAGGCAAGGTGAAGAGGTTTTCGAGGTATTTCTTTTTCAGTAAACCTATTGGTTAGCAGGAATTTCCTGTTATGTATGTTTCATAATTTGTATCTTCCTTTTAGAGTTAAGTGTAACCTTTTTGTTGCAAGACAACCTTGTCTTGCGTATATTGCTCAAAGGTCCCAAGGTGTGACACCTAGGGGTGATTCTGGGACATCATTTTCTGGCTCTAGTCTAGAGTCGTTTCTTTATTGGCCTCCCTAAGAGCGAAGAAGTGCCTATGATCAGTTCTAGTTCAGCAATTGCTGTGCCACATCAGAAAAAACTCGCTAAGAGTAAAATTTGCATGTTCTTCTTAGTCTTGGTTGTTTCAATAGATTAAACTTAAATAAAAAATAATAACAACTATCTAAGAGATAAATTGCAGACTCCAATGTCCTTTCTGATGTGTTTCGACAGTTAAGTTCGCATACTCATAAACATTTATCTGTATAACTTCTGTAGAGCAAATTCAACTAAGTTGGCAAAACATGCCTTAACTATATAGATTACTTCCAACTAGCAGGTGACATCAATTTCATATAAAATCAGATGATAACATTTCAAATTTTCAACACTCCAACTCCAGAATCTTTGCATCACCTAATTGAGTTTTACATCACAACTCCAGGATTTTGTTTATTAGATTATGGTTCAGTGCCTGCACATCACCCTTCATGACTAAAGATTTACCAGACCAGTTCCTGGATGAAGCAAGTGATGGATATGCATTCCAAAGTGAATTCATCTTTAACGATCAAATATGGTCATTGTCTCTAAAATGTCTCCTTAATGTCATCAATTAACCACCCAAATCCCAAGGTAGGGAAAAAAAAAGAAAGAAAAAAAAGTATTTGAAAAGACTAGAAACCTCTTTCTGGAGCTGAAGAGAACGCTTCGACTTTTCTTCAAGCTGATGCCTTAGTGCCTTAAGCTCTTGTTCCATGTCCATGACCTGCAAAATTTAGTCAATTCAAAAGCACAAAAAAGCAATGATGAGACAACTATGTGCATCTAAGTATAGCCTTCAACCCAATTTTGTTCTACAAAACAAGAGAAATGTCATTTCCAAACTAAATGCACAATGAATGATCACAGAGCATGTAAACAATCCAAAATTTGCACAGTATGTTCTTTGTAGTACAATGCCTTTTCATTGAAAACCGTGAGCAGAGATTAGAACTTTAAATGTTATAACCAATACAGTAGCGCAAAATTTCACGTATTTCCTTCTGAGCTTTTGCTCTTTCTGAGATCTAAAGGTCTCTTTAAGGAAGAGTTACTTTACTGAAGATTAGTTTATCTTTAGCTTCAGATATCCTACAACTGTTTAAAACATCAGATTCTTAAGCATACATCACCAGATGAAAAAGGTTGGTTACTTTAAGATAAGATTGGTCAAAATTTTCAGAGAAACTTTTCCATGATGCACAAACATAAAGCCCAAGAAGATGCTGAAAACGAGAGATGATAAATGCGTGATCAAGCCTAAACTGGTACAGAAATTTAGGCATTACATGGAAAAAAAATTAAAAGACAATGATGATGACGATGATGATGATAAAAATAATAATAATAATAATAATAAAGCCAGAATCGACAACCTTACTAGGCTGATGAAGCATCTTTATCCTTCGAGCCTCTTGGACTTCTTTCATTAACTCGTCTATGTCCTAATCATAAGACAACAATAGCAACAATCTGAATATTATACATATAATACCAGGATACTAGTATATCACGCATGATTATTGATGAACTTTCAGTTCAGTTCACTTTTCACTCTCATTTTTACATTTCATTGGAAAGTGGGATCAAGAAGTATTTAAAAGATTGCACATGGAATTAGGCAGATACATATAGCCTATTTCAAAGATCTTAGGCACTCTTAGACTTCATAAAATGAAAGATGTTCTTTTTAGAAGTACAAAAATCAGGTTGACATCAAGGTAATGCGGAATGAATATATAACCAAAAACAATCGTAACCAATAACACAAAGAAACTTGAATTGGAGCCCAGAAATTAAAAATAATTCATAATTAAATGAAAGAAAGTTGAAGATATAATCTACATCATCAACAGGTTCAAAAGTTAAGATAAAATCAAAAGAAGAATGGCAAACAGTAATTTTTATGAACGAAAACAATTTAATAACACCTGCTGTCCTGAGGCCCGGGATATTCGTTCATGTTCCTGAAGAGCCTCCTCAACTCTCTGAACAGCCTCTCTGGCTTTCTCAATTTCTGCTCGAGCAAAAGCCCTTTCTTCATCCACAAGCTTTTTAGCATCCTCAGAAGCCTGAAAGAGTTTCCAAGTTAACAACTTCAAACAACAAAAACATAAAACGCCTGTCCATTGGAAAATCAAACCAGATCACAAATGAGCCACACGTAACATCCCCTAAATCTCTAATTGTAAGGAAACAAATCATGCCCATATTTCCACGCTATAATAATATTCAAGTTGCCAATTGTTGTATGAAACCCCAGGATGCATGTTAAGACAATTAATTACTAATAAGTCTTTATCTGACTGTAAGGGCTATATGAATTATATGTCAATTGTTGTATAGTTCAGCATATGATAAAGAAAACACCAACATAGCATGTCCATTTTAAAGATTCCAGTGAGTTCCATTCCAATGTCCAAATAATGAAATGCATCTTCGTCTAAAGCATTGTCCCCAGGAAGTCAAAATTGAAGTGTAGAGTAATATTTAACAGTTCCAAAATGAAAATAATTGATTTTTCAGTTGGACTGCCATTCATGATTATTATATCCAAAGAACCATATTTGATGATCGAAGGAAACACAGACTATAGTTAAAGTGGATGTTAGATATTCTCATAAAGACAAGAAATAGTAACTATATTAAAAAAGAATGCATTTCAAAGAAGTGAATACAATTACGTCAAGATGCAGACCCATGAAATCTGTTGAACAACAAAATCTTCGTTCACTTGGGGAAAATATGGCATGCTAACAGATCATCCTAAGATGAAACCTCAGATTAATTTTGAAATGATCTACCAGACAATCAGAACTCAGGTAACAATAAATGCTTAACAATACCTGCTTCAGAAACGTTGCTAGCTTTTTTACTTCTGCCTTCTCCTGAGAGAGCTCTCCTTCCCTCTGAGTGAGTTGCACAGCCAAAGCCTCAACCTAGATATATCATACCCAAAATTAGCAACTTCTAAAATCCATTAGCAACATCAGCACAATAATGACCCAGAATAAAATAATAATAAAATAACCCCAAGAAGATCTGCATGCTCAAGAACAGAGATGCACATCGAAATCATAAATCAATAGATACACATTCAAATTTCAAAGAACAGTTCAAGAGCAAGGTTTCATAAGTGAGATTGGAAATCTTCAGCTGGCCAAGCCAAAGAAACAGACATCATCACCTTATGTGATTGATGGAGACCAAATCATAGATAACACATATCATGTAAGAAGACAAATATGCACACTACAGAAATACCAGGTCAGAAGGATAACCGAGAACAGCATGACGTGTGTTACACTTTAAAAGATAGGTAGACATAACAGCAATAAGAGAAATAACCTCTCGATGGTAGCACTAGTAAATTTCAGCCCCAAAAAAAAACTCCGAACACTAAACAGTACTGGAAACAGTAAGTAGAACACTTGCCGCATCCCAAAGTATTGATCAAATAGAGGGAAATTTGTGATCGCAGCCTTTATTTTAACAATTTATATTTTGGTTTTCCATGGCAACTAAAGAGTATACTCTGTTGGTTACATAAGCCATAAAATAAATTGAATTATTCTATCACTTTGTCATTGAATTCCAAGAGTTTACCCTATTTCAGTGAAAGACCAAAAGAAAATGTTCCTTTCCATCCAAAAGGAATGATTCTCAAGAGAGGTTTCATTGAAATAATCTTTACAAGTATTATATGAGATACTGGGACGTTATCAGAAAATTCTCTTCAGGTACTACCACTATCCCTTACACATGAAGCTGTGTTATTGAATTTCATTGTATGCATCTAACAAGTGTGTCACAAATCCAGTTAAAGTGTCTGTTTCAAAGAAAACACAGCAACAAAGGAGATGCACACCTAATTTCAGTGGTAGAACTCTCCATTCACAAATATGTGGAAAAAAGAGAAGAAAAAGATCATGTGGTCTTTTTAAGAGAAGTAATGCCCCCTCAACCTATTATCAGGATGTAGATATTATTAAAAAAAAAAACGCAAAGAAATACTGACCATAGCAATGGCTTCCTCCACATCATCTTTGTTTTTACCAGCCACGCGCCCTTTCAATGATTCTAATGCATCTCTAAGATTCTTAAGAAGGACATGTTTCTCCAATGAAGCGGCCTCTCTTAGCTTTGCCTACAATACATACAGAAATTGCTTTTCATTATTTTAGAACGCACTGATTTTCAATGTGATTTACTAATCAAGCAGACAACAGAATCACAGGGAGGGTTGCAACTCTCTAAGCCATGCAGGTTGGCCTGTGTATTTTGAAAATCAATACTCAAGTTATGCAATGATAAAAGCTACCAATATTATGTTCATCCATAAGTGGACGGCAACCAGAACTCCAAAACATGCTCATCAATAGAATTATCAAATGAAATACTACCCAATTAAATCAAGCAAACAACCAGAAACAGGAGTCTATGAGTTGTAAGAGAAGCATTTAATCAGCTTTAGTATGCACAATGATCATGCATGCTAACCAACCTGTCAATAAACAGTTGCAAAGTAAGACGCCCACAAATGCAAAACTGAAAATTGCTATTCATGAGGGCAACAATGGAATTGAACAGCTTCACATGGATCAAGACCAAAACGGGGGGGAAAAAAGAGAAAGAAAAACAACACACACCTCATCTGACAACTTGGCTGCAGCAGCCAAGCCTTTCTCAAATTTGCTCGTCAGATCACGAACCGAGAGGCGTTTCTGCTGATCCAACAACTGAGCAGTCTCCCTTGCTACAACCTCTTTCATAGATAATACCTTGACATCTTCTTTCACCTCCAAAATCTGATTATTTGCTCCTATTTTGTAATTTGGGAACCGACTCGAAGCAAAGACCACATCAGCTGAAACAGGCGGAACAGCCTCCTTTTGCATTGTATTACCAAAATCTCGACCGACTCTTGTCATAATTTAAAATTTAGCTGCAACAATGAATTTATAATTATACATCATTATTCCTCTAAAAATGGAAGCATTGTACAATACATCAATCAGATTATAGGTTTTTAATTGTAAAATTTTTACCATAAGAACATATAAAACTTTTATTTCTTTTCTTGCCAAGAAAATTTCAGTTCTACACCAGCTTTACTCAAACTCAAAAGTGGATTAGGTGTCACAACCACCCCAACTCCCAAAGCTAAGATCAGGCAGAAACAGTTGCCGAAGTGTATCATAGACAAATTAATCTGGAAAGTACATCATAGACAAATTAATCTGAAAGTAAGGGTTAAAATTCACAGAATCAAACACAAGCAAATAAAAGGAACAAAAAGGTAAAAAGATACCATCTTTGCCATTAATTCATGTCTAAAAACATCAATCCAAGCAGTTTCTAAGCTTATCTATAAACAATACCAGAAAACAAGACCCAAAAATAATAACAAAAGGAAAGAATAAATAATGCATTGTAACCGACACAAAAGAACGACATATGCCGGCCAAAAATCCCAAATCAGTAGAAAACTATGATTACATGAAACTAAATTGAGTTCTAATACATGCCCAGAAGAGTTTACAAGCTATTTTAGGTTTCACAAAAAAATCAACAGCAAATACATAATTTCAACCCAGCACAGTAAAATGCAGGGCAACCACCTATATAAGAGTAAAGTTAACAGAAGTGCAAAACACTTACAGAACCTCAAGAATATCTTGAAAATCTCAGGTATTAATCAAAGGAAAAGATCCCCAGATGTTCAAACAACTGTAGCAAGTAACATTGTGATTGTAGGATTAGTTGCAGGAAGCAGAAACAAGTTTTTTTGAATGATGCTTTGAAGAGAGAGAGAATATTAGGAGAGGGAAAAGAGAGGAAGAAAATTGGAAAAAAGGGGTTGTTTTTCTAATTCTTTACTTTTTGAAAAGTTTGAAGAGAAGCAAAGAAAAGAGAGGACCCCCCCCCCGCCCAACCCAACCCCACAAACTGCATCATTTTCAGTCCTTTTTTTCTTTCTTTTTGGGATAAATTCCTAACAATTAATTAATTGTTGGGCTGTCTAAACCGTCTTTTCTATGTTTTGTATTGAGTCTTAATTAGAATTTTAAAGAAAAGGACCCCATTATGGTATACATCTGAAAAGGACCATTGTAAGAATTATTACATTCTTACTTGGCATTTTCTAAATTGTTCACGTACAAAATTGCCCGTAAAACTTGAATTGCAGTTGTAAACTATATACTGTCCACTACACTTTAAATTTAAAAAAAAAAAATCTAAAACGGGTAGAAATGAGACCAAATAAAGTAAATAATAAATTCCAAGATATTACAACATAGCAACTGGAGGCAGCTTGTGATATGATTTCTTAATCTAAAACGGTGTAATACTTGAAACTTACTCATATACTACTAGACTAGAGTATGTTCAAAAGCATGCAGAAGAAATAAGGAAAATATTTTTATTTTGCAAGGTAAGATTTATGTCTACCAACAAATTTATAAATTGATCATTAATTAAAGAAAATCTTATTACATGTATTAATACATAATGTTTTCTGCTTGTTGGCCATAAAATTATGAGGTGATAAAATTCAATTGGTAAATACTTATCAATTAAATACTGTGACTTTTTTTTTACGTAATTTTTTAATTTAATCTTTTTGCATGTTTAAAATGATAAAATATTTTAACTCAACCAAGATGTAAAGTAACCGATTTAATATCTTAATAGATTTTTTAATTTTGAAAAGGGAGCAAGCACTCATAATTAAATCACCTTCTTCTCCATACTTGATTTTGGACCTCTCTCCTTTTAATCCGTAGATTTCATCTGGTTCTCCTTGCAAATCTTTGATTCCATAATAACTGCAGATCCGAAACTTTACAATATCCTACTTGTGGGTTGCCTCCACAGTCTTGTAATAATAATTTTTTTTGTAAAAAAAAAAAACAAAAGATACTGAGGGCAAGTTCTATTTTTTCTCCCGAAAATCAGCAACGTAGAAGAACTCACACCGCCTCGCGTCTTCCAACGGTTGAAGATAACTCAAAAGATTCAGTTTGAATTATTTCCCTTCCTTTTATGCTTATTAATGTGTGTCCGTACTTTGCGCGGGTTTGCCAATGTTGAAAATTTATATTTCAAAAGAATTAATTAAATAATGTAGTTACAAATATACCGTCTTTATTCTCTTAAAAAAATGTAGTTATTAATATTTCTTAAAACTGTAATATTTTTTTGATTAATCAGTTTTAGATCAAAATGAAAGGTATTGATATTATTTATGAGAGGTATATTTGTAAGATCTGGTAAAACATATTACAACAAAGATTTTCAAAAGTTGTATAATAAAAATTGTCACTACTAACTAATGTTATGTTTGGTTTAAAAAATATATTTAAGAATGCGTAAATTATGTCTAGATACATATGTCTTATTTTTACAGGTAAGTGGACTTTGGGGATTAGATGTATTTCTAATAAAATATGAGACACAATTAATCGTCCTTGAAAATGTAAAATCGATAAACTTGAAAACTAAATAGCACACAAATGGAACTTTAAGGGCCAAAATGACAATAGGTTGAAAGTTTAAACTCGTAAATGAAAGGACTTTTGAAGTCGAGAGTTTCTCAGCAATTTTCAAAAATATTCATTTTTAAGCTCACAATCAGGAATTTGTAATAATTGTAAAAATCTTATATACTCCCTCCGTCCCACAAAAATAGTCCAGTTTGAAACTGTACAACTTTTTCAATTTGGTCAACACACCAAATGTACAACTCATTTCATTCCCCTAACTTCCACTAATGCCCCTTCTAGTTATTTCTATAAAAGTTAACTACATATGCATTTATTTTATAACTTAAATTTGATCAAAAATTTTTATCTCAAAAAATAGTGACAATGGATCTTGATGGAAAGATCTCGTTAAGTAGATTAATTTGATATATAACACATTTTTTAATTATTCATGTATTAAAAGATATAATCATTTGAAAAAATAAGAAAAAACTAAAAAAAATGAAAATCAAAGGAAGTGGACCTTGTTTTCATACTACTACTTTTTTGGATATTTAAGTCATTTCAATTCAATGAATTTTTACCTTTGTTAAACTGGACTATTTTTTTAGGACAAGATTTTTTATTAAATTGGATTATTTTTATGGGACGGAGAGAGTAGTAAATAATTTATTAACTATTTAAAAAAAAATTTTAACTGATTAATGATCAACCAATTTACAAATGACACGTGTTAATTGAGATTTGATGGTCTCAATGAGCGACACATGTCGATTATCTTTCTTTCCTTTAATATATATAATGATGTTCCCTAAAATTGTTGTCAAGTACTATTTCTATTTTCAATCAAGAACACCTTCAAAATTGTATTCCAATATTGGATTGTGTGCATTATCTTTTGCCCCTGCTCACAATTTGTGAAATTGTTTTTCCTTATAAAAACATATGCGGCTAACATTTAAAAAAAAAAAAAAATCTTTCACCCAAAAAAATGAAAATTAAAATCTGAAGAAATCTAAGATTTCAATAGATAGGGAATAGTTTATCTCCTAATTTGTTTGATAACATGTACTAACTTTAGTTTGGAAAGTAGTAATAAAATATTTTTCCGTCCCAAAAAACTTAGTTGTTGCTATCTTTTGTGGAGTAATTAATAATAGATGAATCAGTGTTCCAAACTATTTGAAGAGTTGTGATTAATTTGTTGTATGTTCCTTGTGTGAATGTGTTTTTTCGCTTTATAGGAACATCTTAAAATTTAGTGCGTTTTTCAAATGATTCTTAACTATTCAACATTTAATGAAGAAAAAAATTTTACCATGCCACAAAAACTCTATCTATGTTTGGAACCAACAGCATGGAGACTCATCAACCATGGGATGAAGTGGTGACAATCTTGGAGGGTGGAACTCAGATATGTTAGTATAATTTTAAGAATTCGAACACAATAGTGATCCTTGAGGACAAAAGTTCATTTGTTGGGAGAATATTTGATTCAGTAATAATTGTTGTTGGTTATACTTATAGGGATCAATATAACATTAAAATATTCTGAAAGGACCTTAGTGTAATTATTGTTATTAGAATACAATTTTTATTTATTTTTTATTTTTTTATTCAAAAGATTACATGTTTTATAATATAATAATTACACTGCAAGTTCATCCATTTGAAATTAGGGATTGAGTTTTTGGGAAAAAATTGTAGAACATCTTCCCCCTTCCTTTCTCCCTTTGCTAATGCTACATTCATCATCAATGAAAATTATCTTCTGTGTATATTCACTATTGGTGTTATGGATTTGATATTCGAATTGTTTTCTTTACCCATTACTGATTGCTACTCGAATTACATGCTAGTTGTTTTTACTTTTGCAAAATTTATGAAAAAACCTCCTGAAAGAACTAAATTCTGTTTAGGTACGGTAGACTTCTTTATCGATATTATCTTGGGTAACCCTTTGATTGTTTCTTTTTTTTTTCTAAAAATGAAACAGGCTTCAGAATGTTGTGAATTTTGGTTCCTTAATCTTAATTGAGAGCTAGTTGTAAGATATTTAAGCAAGCGATTCAAAGACTGAGGATTCCTCCATCCGCTTTTGTTTGAATGTTTATATTGTTTGTTTTTGTGTGCAGATCAATACCACCGAAAATATGTGGGAATTTTAAGGGTTCCTGATTGATGTATGACTTAGATGTAAGTTCAAAACTTTTAGTGCATTGTCTTGTAATTTTAAAGGAATCTTTGAGCATACGACTAACACGTTTTAGACCTTCGGGGGAAGTAGTTGGGAGAGCCACAAGCTTCTATAGTTTGTAGGGAAATATGGGGATGATGAGCAACATAACCTTGCGGAGGAATTTCTCAATAGCTACTTTGTTGAATTAAAGTTTATGTATATTTTGATGATAATATTAGCCTATTGTCCCGCTATGATCATGTATTCCTCCATGTTAGAACCATCAGCTTCATGTTTAAAACAAATATCATTATGTTTCAACAAAAGTTAGATATAAAATCGAACGGAATATATGACTGACCGCCTGTGATAAATAGGAGTTTAGCTAATACTTGTTTCATGCCATCGTCTAGACAACGTAAATGTGATCAACCTCATTTTTATTTTTAAGGGTGATAATATGTGGAATGACACATGTGATTTCTTAGCATTCTGTGGGGAGTTCCTTGCGGCATCTGCTGCAAAGAGGTTGGAGTACAAGGTGTTGTTGAGTTTCTAGCTAATCCAAACAATAGAACAAAGGAGGTATAGTCTTTAAATAAGATGATGCCTTCCCCTATTATTAAATTACCGAAAAGACAAAATTTTTGTCCAATTGAATCAACAAAGTTTACTGCTTTTTCTTGCTTGTTAATGTTACTGTTATTGAAATCTTGCATTCGATTTGACTAGTAAGCAAAAAAAAAAAAAAAAATTCCTCAAAGAAAGAGTTGTTACTGCTGTTATGTTATTCTATCCTCTTAGATGGTGGTTAACAGGTTAATTAGTTTGTTGACTTAACTTTTCTGCAATTTTCCCATCTTGGTTTGTCTATTTCCATTATATTTAGTTTGTTCATGTTAAGAGTTCTTGGTCCTTTAGAATCGTGTTTCTGTGGCGTATTAGCTCAATTGCCAAAACATTTCCTTTAACAATTTCATGGCATACTCTTATATTAGTAGTGCTAGAATTCAAAGAAACACATCAGCGTTTGTATTATTCCATGTAAGAAGAGCTGAACAAACTGAATGAAGAGAACTTGTAGAAAGAAACCGTAAGTTATTTCAGTTTCCAAATGGTATATTTTGATTGTCATTCTTGCATATTAGGATCATATTCGAATGTTATATGTTGTTTCCTTTCACCTATTATAGGATACTAGGACTAACTTTTGATGACCATGAGTGTGAAAGTTAATTAGTTAATGTTGTGAAA